TTGCAATTTAAATTACAAGAAAAGAAATTTTCAGTACATATTAAGTGGCTCAAGTTCCACTCTGTAGCTGCAAAGCTTTGTTCAGTAAACCTTGATATGTAAGTGAACTCATGCAAATGAATGCATCTGTCTTCATTTCTCTTTGCCATTAGATCATTATGCAAACATTAAATACCAAAAGAGACATGTAGTGATTGATGAGTCTAGTGGACAAAGCAGGTTAGCAGAAAGCAAACGCTGAGAAGCACATTCCTCTCCAGACAGCTGCTTTTCTCTTCCCTGCATCAGGAAAACCATAAAAGATGTAGTCAATTCTTCAGGGACGAGATACTTATTGGCAGTTAGCTTTCTTGTGATTCAGCGCATTTTCTTGCAACAATATTCTTGTTACTCCTGAGTTTTGCCTAATTTAGATTCCTGCTTGGGCCTGTTCTGCTCAGCTAATCCTGATCAATAATCCAGACGGATTGGACAGAAGACAGAATTGTGAAATAGATGTTGTATTTGCAACATCATACCTTCAATTGACATTGTTGCCGAAACCGTCTATTCTCTGTCTCTCTTCTCTGTAACACACACTGTGCCACCATGGTCTGTGACCGCTATAATTAGACTGGAAGCTGCTGTGACGCCTCCACTCCCCCTTCCCTTTCTTCGTGTTGCCCTTGTTACTATCTCCAGAAGTCACATACTTGGCTAAAGGCTGCCAGAGGTTAAACACTTGCACTGGAGCCGGAGATTGCATGGCAGTGCTATGGGAATCACACTCAGGAATGTGAGGTGGTGCCAGGAATCACACTCTGCCTCACACCTACAAAGTATGGGTGCTGTCACTAAGCTGCATCCCTGAGTCCAAGATTCTGTGACTTTTTCCATTTTGAACTTTGTTGACTGGCTCATAATAGGCACTCAGTAAATGTTAGAATCTATACTCAATTAACCGGTACATGAATATTTTCTTTCATGTTATCAAATAACTATTAAGGAAAGAATTGAGATTTTTTTAACAAGGTGAAATTGAGGGACTGGAGCAATAGCACAGCGGGTAGGGCACTTGCCTTGCATGCGACCGACCTGGGTTCAATCCCCAGCATCCCATATGGCCCTCCGAGCACCACCAGGGGTAATTCCTGAGTGCAGAGCCAGGAGTAATCCCTGTGCAATGCCGGGTGTCACCCACAAAGAAAAAAATAAAACAAGGTGTTGACTCATACCGGTATTAGAGGTAGTCTAGATAAATTTTAGAGGTAGCCTAGATAAATTTATATGCTCATGGAGGACATTGGAAGCTAAAAAAATCCTGGCTGTTCTAGATGATTGGGCTTTAGGCAGAAGCTTGAGAAGAAGAACCTGGGTTCTTCTGGAAAAAACATGCATTATCCACATCCCATCAGACTGCTCCAGCGCTATGCTGTCCCAATTTATGCAGGAAGTATGTTCTCAAAAGCCTGAATTTGAGTGAGGTCTTATGAGTTGAAACATTTTCTTAATGACTATGGTATTACAACGTCATAGTTCCTTTTTTGTGCATTTCTGATTAGCCTTTCAGATTGGCCCTAAAAAAACTGCTTCTGCCTCTTCACATAAAGATATATAATCTCATCCTTAAATATACAGGATGACTTTAAATATTTCAAGATTATGCAAAACTGTGCAGGACATTCTGATTCTGTGGAATGAATGTTCATCTATTACATAATTTTCATTGCTTTAGTTATTAACTTAATTTTTAAATAATTTATGCACAGATGTCTGCCAAGGAGGACTATTAGATATTGGTTATTAAGTTGTTCTCTTCAAATATTATTTGAACCAATGTATTTCTTGTGTGTGTGTGTGTGTGTGTGTGTGTGTGTGTGTATGTGTGTGTAAGTGTACTGCTATTTACTCAGCCATTGATTAAGCTTATTGAATTGGGCATGAACTCCACTGAATCAATTTTTTTTTCATTTTGGGGTCACACAAGGCAACACTCAGAGGTTACTCCCGGCTCTGCACTCAGGAATTACTCCTGGCAGTGCTCAGGGCACCATATGGTAAGCTGGGGATTGAACCCAAGTGTGCCACATGCAAGGCAAATGCCCTAGACACTGTATCATTGCTCCAGCCCCTAAACCAATGTATTTCTTGTGTACTGCATTGGGAGCGGAGGCACAGGTGAAACGGAGACCCTTATGGGCTTTTTTTGCAAATACTTTTTTTGCAAAAGTCACTGTGCTATTGTGCGCGTGACAGGAAACTTGATTCCTGAATTCAATCATGATTTGGTCTTTCATCTGAATGTAGTAAACAAGGCTGACGTCCCTTGCACTCACAGACTCTGCCTGGGTTTCTGCAAAAAGGGACAGTAACAGCTCTGGACTCCATAGTGTAAAACACCAGGAAAAGGAGGCTGACAGGGAAGGCCTGCTGGGGCTCATAGGTTACCAGGGAACCGGCAACCTTAAAAGCCAGGTCAGGAAGATACGTTCATCCAGTCGGAGGCGCTGAGACAAGGAACGCAAAAGAAATTTATGTCATGGAGGGCCCAAGATACACAGCCAGACTGAGAAGGAACACCACCTCCTTCTCAGGCTCCTTCCCCGCCAGCCCTGTTCTTTCTCCACTCTGAGCCATCATTTCCTTCCCTCGCATGGTTTTGCTCATGCGTTTTCTAGTGGGATAGTTTGTGTAACAATAATTAGACCTTTATGCTACACATTCATGCAGATTTTTGACACAGCCAGTGACTCAGTAACATAGCATTAAGGAAGGGACAGAGGTTGCACATCATCTTTCTGTTGTTTGAACTTTGAAAGGCCTTTCTTGGATTTTTTTTATATTCTAGAAGTTTAAGTCCCTGGAATTAACAATCTTCTTTAGGAGGAACTAGAAAACTGTCTGTTTTCCCCTAGTTCCTGCCCAGAGTGTATGCCAAGCAGGGTATACCACTATGGAGAATTCGAGAAATGTTTATCATGATTTGACTAGAGAAATACTGAACCCCACTCATTTTTATTTCTGGAAAGTGTTGCGTGAACGTTCGTCCAGTCGGAGGTGCTGAGACAAGGAACACGAAAGAAATTTAAGTCATGGAGGACCCAGGTTCTCTCAGACCTGTGGCAAAGACCTGTGAGAGCCCCGAAATCTCCTTTAATTGATCATGGTACCTCTAAAAGGTGCCATACATTGACATCATCAAAAGGAGTTACAGAAAGAACACTGAGGCAGCAAAACGCATTGTTTCCTTGAGTCCTTAGTCCAGTAATTTTGGCCTCCAGAAAGAAGATACAAAACCAAAACAGAAACAGAAACCTTTTTTGGGCTACAAATATTTGGATTTACATCCCAAAGACTAGTCTGCCTAGAGCCTGGAATCTACATCCCAAAGATCAGGCCTGGTTAACACCTGAAAGAAATGAGAGAAAGTCACGTGAGACCTGTAGAAAACATGGGTGACTATTAGCATCTGTACATAAGCTATGTCAAAGACCAGCCAGGCTTTTGTGAGAAAAGGAAAACTGCCCCTTACAATATACTGAAATTATTTACTGAAGGCAGTTTGAAGGGGGAAAATGTTCAGCCCCATCCAAACTAGTCAGGACACACGAGAAATCTCGCCCATTTTCATGGGTTCCTATATTCCTGCCCGTTGTGTGGTGCAGTCTACACGGGCTCACCCTGGCAGCTCAGTCCAGCCCCATCAGGAAAGAGGGTATAGTTTAATATCCTAGTACCTCTTTTGCACCCCAAATCAAAAGATTTCAGCTCTCTTTTAGAGACATTATCCTTATAAGATCTGAGAGAAGTTTCAATTTTGATAAGTAAAGAAGCATATTGATGACTGTTACTGGGAACTTCTGAGGCCCAACCCTGACTTATCATATTATGACTTAATTCTGTAAGGTATCTAAAGTACTGTACAAATCATTGTAATTTTTATTTATTAATTCTTTAATCTTTTAGCTTGTGTTACCCCTTCCTTTTGTTGTTATGGTTGCAAAGATGGTTGTGGTACTCATCAGTGGTGATACATGTGGCTTTGTTATTTGCTGGGGGTCACATACTTTATTGGTTGTGTTCATGCACACACTTTGTAGTGTTTTCCAGGGAGATCACAGATGAGCTGTGCTGCTCACAAGCGAGTGCACACTCCTTAGTAATTCTGGGTGTCCAACAGCAGAGCTTCCAGAACCATGCTTGGTGCATATGGGCTGCAACAAAGAATTAGTCAGTCTCATACATATAAGATAGGTGCTTTTGCCATGGCACCATCCCCTGGGCCACCACTGTACTTTCTTTCCTGAGATCAAAAACAAACCAAACAGGAGCTGGAGTGATAGTACAGTGGGTAGGGTGTTTGCCTTGCATGCAGCCAACCCGGGTTCAATTCCCAGCATCCCATACAGTTCCCCAAGCACCACCAGGAGTAATTCCGGAGTGCATGAGCCAGGAGTAACCCCTGTGCATTGCTGGGTATGACCCCCCCCCCAAAAAAAAACCAGGTAGTGTTAATAATATTTGTCTTAAACCTGTCAACAGCTCTCCTCAGTGTCACTTGACTTTTGCAGCTGAAATGTTCCAGGAGCTTGGAATCAGCTGCTGCCCTCGGTGCATTTGTGTTATTATTTAAAAGTCTCTGCTAGACCCTTGTCTTTCAATTTTCAATTGTTCCTTTTGAAATTTACAAGGAAAGAAATGAGAGAAAGTCACGTGAGACCTGTAGAAAACATGGGTGACTATTAGCATCTGTACATAAGCTATGTCAGACTATGTATTGTGAATCCAGAGTGAACTGCCCCGCTGGTACCCATTTTAATATCCTGTATTGAAAGATCGGTCTCAGCCTTTTCTGCATGCACATCTTTATGAGATATTTTGCGAATGGCAATGGAAAAGAGGTCACCGATTGTTTTTTTCATCAAAGTGGAGAGTTTACAGGAGTCGTTGTCCCATACATAAAAATATTGGTGCCTTGGCTCTAATTTCATAAGGCAAACGCTCTTTTTTTTTTCCAACAGAGGAATTCAAGGGCTGCACTGTCGTCGAGTTGATGAAGAAGGAAGGCACGACACTTGGGCTGACAGTGTCAGGAGGAATTGATAAGGATGGCAAGCCCAGAGTCTCCAATCTGCGGCAAGGAGGGATCGCTGCTAGGTAACTGTGTATCAGGGAAATGTGGGCAAGAAACACAGGGTGTAATTAATTCAAAAATTAAAGCGCCATCAGAAAAGGTCATGATAAATAAATGGCAGCTGCCATCTGCCAGGCCCAGGCGCTGTGGGGGTCTCTTTTAGATGCCTGGCTTTTCCGGTCTATGCCAGAGCCACAGGGGAGAATCATATCAGCTCAGGAGTAACCAGTCCCCTTCTAAGATTTTAATTGTAAAACACCTGTCTGGATCTGGCTCCCAAAGGTGCTGCTGAGCAGCAGACAGGCTGCTGGGGGAATGAGACCCTCCAATCATCTAAATGAGGAGCAGAGGACCCCTGTTGTGTGCAGGGTGGGCCGTGGGGGGCTACCTGCCGAGGACGTGTAGGAGGCCAACTCCAAGTTTCTAAGTTAAAAATGTTCCCTTGTCCACAGCTTCTCTACTTTTCATCTTGGAAAGCTTTTTCTCAAGATAGATGATTTCCAGAAAGAACCAGCAGGCTTAGAGGAGGAGGTTCTTTGTCCTGGTTCTCAGGACCTACAGCTCATTATAATTATTCCAAAGACAAGATGTCCTGGCTGTCAGGTGGGAGCGGGCTTGCTTTAGGCACACATTTGCAATCCACCCCCAAGAAAGAGGGCACAACAGTCATTGGTCAGGTAAAGGGAGATGAATGCATTTTTTTGTTTGTATTTTGGGGCATATCTAGTGATGTTCAGGGTTTACTCCTGGCTCTGTGCTCCGGAATTATTTCTGGAGGTGCTCAGAGGACCACATGAGATGCCCAGAATAGAACCCGGTTGTCAGTGTACAAGGCAAGCACCTTACCCATTCTACTATCACTCTGGCCCCCCAAATGCGTTTTTAATCTGGATCCCAGTTCTTGTCCACATCATTCCACCTGAGTTACAAAGTTCTTGCCTTATAAAGGGTTCCCTGAAAGAGTGATTCCTTTTGGTGATTAACCTGTTTGTAGAGTTCATGAGCAGAAGTCTATTATCACTCTGTGGTCTGAGGTTATTGTGTATAAAACAGGCTAATGTCAACTCCAGCACCTTGGTCTCCTTCCTATAGTCTTGTAAGAGGTGTTTCCCCATACCTCTGCCTCCTGTGTTTCTTTAACTCTCCTGGCTAATAATCTGTGATGCAAGAGGTCCCCTCTCTAGAACACCTTCCAATAGTACCTCTGCAGGAAGTCTAAATGGGGTAGAAATATCATTCTTGGTCTCATGGATACTATAATTAAAACTAGTAGTGAACTGTATATTTTTAACTGAGCTATTTCCAAAACGTTTACCAAATGTGTTACCCATTGTTCAAGAGTCGTTGTTTAAGTCAGCATTTCTCAACAGGAGATCCTGTGACATACTTTGGCCCCCAGAATATTCCAAGAGGAAGGGCCTGGAGGGGCAGGTGAAAGTTATGTTAATAAGGGACCACTGTATAAGAATAGGGGGTCAGCTGGTTGGATGAAGGTATGGGGGGGGTGTTATAATAAGGAAACAAGGTCAGGAGGTAGCCAGGGTCAGAAAATGACTGAAAAACATTGGTTTAAGATGTTATCATTTTATAGTAAATAAACTAAAATAGTAGGAAGGGACAGTGGGAATCTCATTCATCCATTCATGTGCAGGGACTTTGTGCCAGGCTGTGGGGCGGGTGAGAGCCCTCCCCGCCCCAAGGGACCCAACCCTGGCAGCCAACCTTCACTACCCAACCATCACCACACTCCAGACACTTCCTACCCATTTTCCACTATTACTACACAATATCTAATGGGGTTCAAACTGTAGGCAACAAATCATAGAGAAGAATATATAAATATATGCCTCTCGGAGAGCCCGGCAAGCTACCTAGAGTATCCCACCCACACAGGCAGAACCTGGCAAGCTCCCTGAGGCGTATTCGATATGCCAAATACAGTAACGACAACAGGTCTCATTCCCCTGACCCTGAAAGAGTCTCCAATCGTTGGAAAAAGATGAGTAAGAAGAGGCTGCTAAAATCTCAGAACTGGGAGGAATAGATACATTACTGGCGCCTGCTCGAGTAATTTAAAGATCAAAAGGATGACAGTGATACAGTAAAACTAAAATAATTATGATACATTCCTAACCTAAGGAGGTTTGTAGCATTTTAAAAAATGTGAAAAGTTGGGGCATAAAGATAACATGGCCAAAGAGTAAAATGCAGCCGTAAGTGGTTTGTTTTTTTTTTTAATTGAATCACAGTTATATACAAAGTTGTACATGATTGGGTTTTAGTTATATAATGTTCCAACACCTGTCCCTTCACCAGTTCACATTTCCACATTTCCTAGCACCGATGGTCCTAGTTTTCCTCCCCCGCCACCTACCTTCTATGGCAGGCCCTTTTCTCTCTCTCTGTCTCTCTCTGTCTCTCTCTGTCTTTCTCTCTCTCTCTCTCTCTCTCTCTCTCTATATATATATATATATATATATGTATATATATATAGCACTGCACTGCACTGTCCTCCTATTGTTCATCGATTTGCTCAAGCAGGCCCAGTAACGTCTCCATTGAGAGACTTCTTGTTACTGTGTTTAGCATATTGAATACATCACAGGGAGCTTGCCAGGCTTTGCCGTGCGGACAAGATACTCTCGGTAGCTTGCCGGGCTCTCCAAGAGGGGCGGAGGAATCGAACCCAGGTCAGCCATGTTGGCCATGTGCAAGGTAAATGCCTTACCTGCTGTACTATCGCTCCAGCCCCTCACTCTCTCTCTCTCTCTCTCTCTCTCTCTCTCTCTCTCTCTCTCTCTCTCTCTCTCTCTGAATTGAACCCGGCTAGGCCGGGCGGGCTGCCCTAGCAGTAGGGCGTTTGCCTTGTGCGCAGCCTGCCTGGCAAGCTACCGAGAGTATCTCGCCTGCACAGCAAAGCCTGGTAAGCTCCCCGTGACATATTCAATATGCCAAACACAGTAACAACAAGTCTCAAAATGGAGACGTTACTGGGCCTGCTCAAGCAAATCGATGAACAATGGGAGGACAGTATATATATATATATATATATATATATATATATATATATATATTCTTTTGGGCTCTATGATTTGTAATACAGATAATAAAAGTCCAAAATGATCATTTCCAATCAATATTTTCATGTTAATCCCTTCTCTATTCTAACTGCCCTTTGCCACCACCCCACACACACACACACCACACACACACTCTGTGGCAAGCTTCCAACCAGTGAACAGTCCTCCTGGCTCCATTTTACCTTGGTATTGGATATTAGTCTCATAATATATATATATACATATAATATACATATGTAATATATACATATATGTTGTAATATGTGCATATATACATATGTATCCCACAAATGAATGCAGCCTTTCTATATCTGTCCCTCCTCTTCTGACTCATTTCACTCAGCATGATAATCTCCATATCCATCCATTTATAAGCAAATTTCATGACTTCATTCTTCCTAACAGCGGCTATAAGTGTTGCCACAGAGTCTCAGGTAATTAAGTTGCTATGAGTGTTTAAATACCTGAGAGTGGCAGCAGGTATTGCTGACTGAAGCAGATCAGGCAGGACCAGGAGCTAAACTTAGATCAGAAAAACAAATGAAGTGGTTCTATTTGGGGAGAAAATATCTTTGAAGGGCCTTATCAGTGATGTGAATCTTCATAGTCATCATTGGTCTTGCACACTTGGCTAAGCATTTTACTAAAGGCCCCAAGCTGGGCCAAGTTGTCCAGTGGAAGAGAGCCGGGTAGGTCAGAGCCCAATACCTGTGCTGGAATTTCTTCTTCACCAGTACTTTTGTTTTATCAGTAAATAAAAGCAAAGTCAGCTTGTCCCTTGGCCTTGAACAAACTCCCAGGGATATTGAAAGCTGTGAAATGTTCAGAAGTCAGGCAACCAGAATAGGAGGGAATAAGGAGAGAGAGACTATCGTGGTGTTCCAGGATCTGGGTCATCTGCCCCCAAAGAATCAGCACTTTATGAGTAGTGCAACTAAAAACAGTTGCCTCGTTACTTTATTTTATGGCGCTCTTTAAAAGTCAAAGAGTCAAAGGGTTAGGAAGAAATCAGGGACAGCTACTCACCCAGAGCAGGAGTTTCAAAATCTGATAGTCAGCTGGGGTGGAAAAGATCTAGTCTCTATCCGCCTGGGGTTTTCTCTTGCCTCTAAGAAACTGACTCTATCCTAGGAGGCAGTGACTTCTGTCAACCCTCCTGCCCCCAGATTTATGTGCTTATTCATGAAGAGAAGCAGAAAAGCTAGTCACGTGGGTCTGCAGTGAGGCTGGGCCAGCTGAAATATTGTCTGTTTTGCAGAAGTGATCAGCTTGATGTGGGGGACTATATCAAAGCCGTGAATGGGATCAACCTGGCCAAATTTCGCCATGATGAGATCATCAGCTTGCTGAAGAATGTTGGGGAAAGAGTGGTTCTTGAAGTTGAGTATGAGCTGCCGCCGGTCTGTAAGTAGTCGCTATTAGGGGTGGAAGAGAATGCCATGTTTTTCCCAAAGCAAAGCAGTTATTAGAATTGATGATCTTAGAGTCTGATCAGGAAAGGACTTAGATAGCAATGAAATTATATTGGTCTCCTGTTCCATTAAGATGAATATGGTATTGGTCACTTAACCTATTTTAATATGCAGTCAACATATTTATAAGTTCTGTGCATTGGTGAACTTCCTGATACAGTCTACGGGAAATAGTTTTTCCCATAGGATATTATGTTGATTGTTTTATAATTCTTAATTTCTGTAACATGAGAATATCTCAGATTCCATTATTGTCAAGTAATAATGATAACAGGAATACTTTTATAAGAAACTTGATATGTTAATTCCTCATTACAGTAATGTCAGTAGAGCGAAGCTAAAATTCGGTATCAAAGAGAGACCCAGGCTCACATTCCTGCTCCCACTTTTTATTAGCTCCACTCCTTTGAGGATTCCCATGTCTCACTTCTTATATCTAGAAAATGGGGATAATATTAGTTCCTACTCATAGATCTATTAAGAAGACTAAATGACTTTATATTTGTAAAGCACCGTGGGATGTATAGATACAAACAACATCTGGTGCTATACAATTTTTGCTAAATAATAAATGCACAAATGAGGCCGGAGAGATAATACAGGAGGGTAAAGTGCTTCCTTTGCATATGGGATAGGGATGTCCTTGAAGACATTTTCTTCTATGGTGTAATTCACATGGATGCTACCAAGGGCAAGTTATTTGTTCTTCTTGTGAGCACTCAGATTGATAAGTAACAGTGGGTAATCATTAGTTCATCATGGACTTACTGAATTCTTGTTATATTCTAGCCACCACTAGGTCCTAGGAGCTTGGGAGCTCACTAGAATTTACATTACATCAGAAATAACAGAAAATTAAAGTAAAACTACATACATAGTATGAAGACCATGGACCATGGCTGCTATGTGGACGAGGAAGTAGAACAGGGAGAGAGATTGAGGGTGTTGGAATGAAGGTGGGTTTAAATTTGAAATAGGGTGGTTCAAAACCACTTCATTGAGGGATGGCTTGAGCCAGTAACTTGAAGGATGTGAGGAAGTTGGGATTTCTGGGGGAAGAGGTTTCCAGGAAGAAACATCAGCCAATAATTGGCTAAAAATCAGGAAAGTATCTTGGGTTGTTCTAGAAGCTCTGGGGCAGAGTAACTGGAGCCCAGTAAACTGAAAGAATGGAGGAATAGCAGCTGGTCAGGAATGTCCAGGATAAAGATGTCCTTGAAGACCTTTGGAAGAACCTGAAATTTCTACTAGGACTGACACAGAAAGGCATTGTCTACTTTAGGACATGATCTGGTTGATGTTTTCAAAAGTTGCCTCTTGTCACTGCGGGAGGCAAGGTAGCAGCTGAGCTGTCAGGTAAGAAGCTATTGAAGAGATCCAGGTGAGACATGGTCATGGGGATCGTCAAAAGCAAATTCATTCCTTATTTGATCTGGAGGAAGATCCAACAGACATTCCCGGAGCATTCGATAGGGTTGGCAGAGAAACGACCACCCCAAGGTTTTGCATCTGAGGAACTGGAAAGCTCGAGGTGCCATTAGTGATGTGGCAGTGCTGATCTGTGATGGAGAGACCAAAAGTCGATTGTTGGAAATGCTGCCTTTGAGATGCTTAGTGTGTATGCAGGAGCTGATGTCAGGAAGAGAACAGAATATATGGTTTAGAGTTCAAGCAATAGAATGGAGAAGAAAAGGAAATTTAAGTGTAATGGAAACAGAATGAATGTATGTTGTGTTTGAAGCTTGAGATAAACTTCAATGCAGATGAGAGAATCTAGAAGGTAAGTATACATAACAGTCACAAGTATTTACTCGTTTTTATTTATTTTGGGGCCACACTCAGCAGTGTCAGGGTTTGTTCTTAGCTCTGTGATAAGGAATCACTCTTGGTGCTCAGGAAACCGTATGTGGTGCTGACTTAGCAGCATGTAAGGCAGGCTTTAACCCCTGTACTATCTCTGTGGCCCCAGCAAATTATCCTTAACATAAATGTGTCACTGTATCAGTGTCATCCCGTTGTTCATCGATTTTCTCGAGCAGATGCCAGTAATGTCTCCATTCATCCCAGTCATGAGATTTTTAGCACCCGCTCCTTACTCGTCTTACTGCCATATGTAACACAAATAAAATTAGTGGCAATTTTATAATAAAATCAATTTAATTCTGTGTTCAAAAACCTTGCTACAGCATTTTTCACTTTCAGCCACAGTGACCAGTAAACACAGAAGGTTAAGACTTTGTTAAATGTCAACTAATTATAACTAGTAAATGCCCAGCTTTGCCCTTTTCTAGTCTTATGACTTTGAGCATATTATTTAAGTTTTCTGAGACTTAGAGTTCTCAAATGTAAAATGACTATAATAAATGTTAATTTTTTTGTAAAAATTCAATTCTCAAACTGGAGTGATAACGCAAAGGGCTGAAGTACATGCTTTCCATGCAGGAGTCCTGAATTCAATCTTCAGCACAACACTAGGGACAGAACACTAGAATTGACCCCTGAGCACTGAACCAAGAGTTAACCCCTGAGTACCACTAAGGTAGCTCCAAAAGGAAAACACTAAAAAATTGAATGCTGTATTCACATCAAATATGTATATAATTGTCATATATTTGCAAGTCATGTATTTGTACATTAATAATTATTCCAATGAAAGTATTATTTTCTTAAATTTTAAAAGAATCTGTTTGCTCTGAATAAAATCTAAAATCATTGCCCAAGAGTTAAGAGAAGTCAATTACCTCAGGCTAATACTTTGCATATTTTTTTTATTCCACTGAGGAATGAGTATCAATGAAATTATCTCTTCCTAAAAGGTACAAAGAGCTATACCTTATTCTTAAGCATGGCTTTCAAGTATGCCAGCAGCAGAGATGTCAGTGTCCTGTGTGATGTAGAATCAAAGGCTTCTGGGGCTGGAGAGATAGTACAAGGGTTAAGGTGTTGTCTTGCATAGAGCAGATCTGGGTAGGATTCCCGGCACTCTACCTGGTCCCCTGAGCACCGCCAAGAGTGATCCCTGAGCACAGAGCCAGGAGTAAACCCTGAGCACTGATAGATGTGACTCCAAAAAGAAAAATGTGAACATATCTAAGTAGATCTGAAAGAGATTATGAACTTGAAATTTCAGTAGGAAGAAAAACATTACAAATACAGGATCCAGCAAGGAGGTGAGAGTAGCCTAGAACGGGTGGAACTGCAAACAAATTGGAGTTACTGGAAAGTAAAAGGAAAGGCAGAAGTGGTGCTGCAGTTTGTGAGGTAAAGGGAACAAAACCATGGAGGATCTCAGTGGAACTTTCAAGGTGTCAGGCAAGCAGAAGGAGATAGTAAGTACTTTAAAAGCCAAGGATCAGAATCATCTGATCTAAATGTTTAAGACTTTACCACTGATTTCTTAGACTTTACCATTATATATATGACAAACTGAGACTAGATTAGAGGGTATGAGCCTAAAAGCTTTGGCTAAAATACCATGTCTCATAGGGTTAAAGAGGAAAAGATGCATATCCAAGTATTCAGGTGTTAAAACTTATCTGACTTGGTGATGATTCCAGCTTTTCAGTGTTCATGCAATATAAATGATGGAAAAGGGGGGAATGACTCTTTTTTAACCCAGAAGTGTGAATTTTATGGTAAAAATAAGATAGAGGAGCTTGATTCTCCAGGGATTTTCTCTGTCTCTTTCTATTATGTTTGGATAAATTAATAAGGTCTTTGAGTTCAAAGAGGTTGAAAGTATTAATAAGCCTCCCCTTCACTGAGCTCTGACAGCCTAAGCAGGAGAAAGCCACCAGCGGAAGCTAACTGCTGAGAGATAGGGCACCTGAGGTCAAGACTGGACACTCTCTCAAGAATCACCTCCATTGGAGTTTCAGTCTACCCCCGAGCCCAGAACCGAGAGAAGGAAGGAAGTGTGTGTGTGTGTGTGTGTGTGTGTGTGTGTGTGTGTGTGTGTGTTCTGTTGGAGGAAAAATAGAACTTTGACTTTGGGAAAGCCTTTTTGGAAATTACTTCCTTATGAAAATGAAATGGTTGCTCTACCTAAGAACTATAACTGTATTTTTTTAAATCTTTTTTATTTGAGATTGTATTTAGAGAAGATATTACCCAAGCACCAGCAAGCTCTATATCTTCTGGTTCTCTGTACTCAAAGTTTAGAACAATGCCTTCAAATTTTTCATTCAATTAGCCTAAAAGGAATCTTGAAATATTATATAATTCTCATTCATTTCTTTTAATTGAACAACCTAAATTCTTTATTCTAGAGTAAACCATTAAAAAGACTACTTTTCTGGCATGATGCTTATTCTGTACATCTTTAAATGCAGTTTCTATTCAAACCTTGAAATTAAGAGTTGCCTCATTTATTTTATATAAAACGTCCACGACAAAAGCTGAGTGACAAAACCAGGGTTCTTATTAAACCATCAGCTAAATCAGACTAGTTTTCTCTCAGGAAGACTGTGTGTTTAAGTTCAAATAAATTTGTTGAAATATTGCCTTGATGGCCTTTAAACCTCTCAATTCTAATCTGCTTGACCAAAGAGGAGTAGAAGAAAAAGCAGAAGAGGGAAAAGGGAAGAGAAAGAGGAAAGAGTGGGAGGAATTCATGCTCCCTTCCCCCTGGTTCATATGTGGAATTCAATATGAGGGAGAAGGAGCTACCCAAGGAAAGTTCCACTTGTGACAGTAGCAAGAGAAGGGATTAGCAATAACGAGGGAAGCAGGAGAGCCCCAGCACAGTTCCAGCCTCTGCTAAGCATCTCATATTCCACATGCCTGGGCAAGTCACACAGACAAATCCAACAAAATGGAGTGTGGAGTACACAGCATCTCTTGATTTAGGAGTTGGCAAGGCATGGAAATAGTATGTAATTTAGAAGTCTAATTTAATAAATAAAAATTTTAATAAATTGTAGTCCAGAAGAATAAGGCATATTCATATATGGTTACAAGAGACAAGGGTACAACGGACATACCAAGTAGTTTTAAATTGTGAAAGTAGTTTCCTTTGGATTTGATTTTTTTGAAAATGTTCCTTAAGTGTATCCTGATATCCACATATGGAAGTATAAGCTGTTCTGGCACCAAATAGTTCAACCCAGTTCTCAAGAAGAGATATACAGATAAAAATTAGGAAGCTCAAATTAATGTCATTAAATATACTAAAATGGAGTCTACTTTCATATTTATCTTTATAAATGATGACCGGCAATAGTGAGAATATTCTAAGGTTGCAGTCAATGCCAAATGTTTTTATACTCTCTATAGATTTGGTTGGAAGATTTCGTGGTCAGTATGATTTATCTCAAGCAAAGTAGAATGACAGTGCTTTGCATTTCCCATGACAGACACCCAGCCAACGAGGACAGGTGGCAGTCAATTAGAGTTTGGCTTTATATAATTGAAAGTTGATTTAATGATCAAAATGAAATGGTATTTGTGAACCACTTCACAGAGTTCCTGGCATGCGATAGATGCTCAATTATTTCTCCCCCAGCCTCTTCTCTCCTGTACCAATAAAGCCAAAAAAGGTCATGTTCTTAGTTAATATTTTCAAGTGACTTTTGGGTCATAGAAATAAGAAAATATTTTATTTAAGATTATTGAATTAAAACTGTACCTCAACAATTTTAGCTAGTTCTATGTCCTGTTCCTAGTTGATTAGAATAAACTAAAATTCCCCTGGTAGCAAGAATATGACATTTAATTAAATCAGCAGTATACCAAAATATTTGTTCAGCTGTAGGGTTTAATGTTGTTTTTAGCATACTCAAGTTAGTATTATACTTTATTTCCCAGCCATATGTGAGCAGTTTTGTGAATTTAACTGCAGTGTTTTCATAATCATGTCTAATTCTTTGAGGATTCTGAATCTAATAGTTAAAAATAATTTTAATTAATACTTAATTAAAATCATTTTCTGTATCTAACTAGCAAAGGAAAGATTATTTAAAAGATACATTTGAGGAGCTAGAGAAATAGGACAATGGGTAGGCCATTTGCATGTGGCCAAATTCCTGACACCTCATATGGTCCCCTAAGTCCCACCAGCAGTCCCTGAGTGCAGAGTCAGAAATAAGCCTTGAAAACACTGAATGTGGACAAAATAACAAAGAAGGAAAAGAAGGAGAAGAACATGCTTTTAAATTTTGTGTGTGTTTTCTTACTGATAACTTTATATGATAAACCCCTCAAGATCTAGTAATAAATGTGTTATTGTTCAGGAACACACTAGATTAGAGATCATTTAAGCCATCACTTTCTTCAGTTTTTAAACATTTTTTATGAATAAACATTCTGTAGTGAGTGGTCGCAAGGTCAACCTAAAGTCACCCTGCAGCAAACATTCTGTATCTATAGTATATACTATAGTATAACATTGATTACATTAGGATATATAGTATCTATAGTATAACACTAATTTGTGTAATTTTAAAAATTCAACAATAATTTACTGTGAAGAATTACTTACTAATTGATTTTTTTTTGTTTGGTTTGGTTTGATTTGGGGGCCACACCCGACTGTGCCCAGGGCCTACTCCTGGTTCTATGCTTAGGGATCATTCCTGGTAGAGTTTGAGTGTGCTGCTGAGGATTTAACCAATTCAGCTGCCTCTAAGGCAAGCAACTTTTCAAGTAGTTTAACTGAATATTTTAGTGACTACACCTTCATACAACTGTACCCTTAGACTGTGTGCAGTATAATTAGAGATTGCAACTTTGCAGTGCAATTTCATTTTGTGAAATGAGAGTAATAAGGCAAATACCACATAAGCATGATGGTATCAAGTGAAATGAAGTAGATCTTTATTATATTAGTCAGGAGTAATATTTTGAATATATTTAAAATTTTTTTACCCTTCTCCAAATTTCATTTGGTCTACTGGTGTCTTTGTTTAATTGCAATATATTGTGTCAGGAAATTTATTTGCGTCAGCTAATCTATTCTTGGCAATCTTTTTCTTCCTGTGCTAATTGCAAAAAATTAGATTACATTATTTCAGAAGTTTTATAAAAATCATATTGCTTTTTCATTTTATAAATATAAATCAATTGTACTTATTATAAGAAGAATATCTTTTTTGTGATTTTTCTATCCAGAAACTTGTCAGACAAGAGTAAAGGTAATATTGAGGATTTTAATATTGTGTTTAGACCATTATGTCACTTATGCGAATAGCTTTATAGCATGTGTATGTCATTATAATTATTTTTCAGCATTTTCTTTTAAAGGAAATCATTGCTATTTGATTACTCAAAGCAAGAATTATTTACAAAAATCTGTAGTATTTTATAACACATTGACAAATTTAGAAATATTATTACAAGTTAAGGCTTATATTTTCCTTTCTCTTTTCTGCATGCATCAGCTGTTCAAGGATCAAGCGTTATTTTCCGAACGGTGGAGGTCACTTTACATAAAGAAGGCAATACCTTTGGTTTTGTAATACGAGGTAGGTGGTGGTTAGAAAACATAAGGCATCAGATACCCTTGGAAAATTTATCAGGAAAAAACTGGGAGTGAACTTGAAAGTCATCCTCAAAAACTGATGTTCCCTATGTGTAAAGTCACTTATATTTCACTCCACTCTTCTTTAAAAAAGAAAGCACTGATTAGGGATCAAAATAGAATACTAATTTCCTCATTTTGTTTAGTCCATTAATTCATACAAAAAGCCATTGTTTATATACTTTATCAGTTAACAACCAGCATATTTTGTTACCTTTGTCTCTTGCCTTCTCTTTTGTAATTTCCTGTCCCAGTGAGTCAAAAAATGTTGATGAGTTTAACTTTATTTGATTTAATACACTTGGATTAAGCAACTTTGTTTCAATTATTTTCTCCTGAAATACGTTCCATTATTATAGCTTTCTGAAAATGGATACAAGGTAATCCAATCCTCTGGGCACCTGTGTACATCAGCGCAACTCATCTTATTACAAGATATTCAGAAAAATTTTGGGTGACTTCTACTTGTCATAAAAGTCATTAGTTCCGAATTGTGATTTTGGCTTTTAATATTTTATTTTTTATATTGGCAATTCTTCCTGTTAAGATCTAGGCATTAACAATTTGTGATTCCTAGTATGGCAGTGAATATCAGTGGAGAACTTTATGAACATCAGAAATGTTTAACCACTTCCCATATTTTGATTTATTAATATATTATATTTATACCTGCCAAAGTAAAAATTATATAACATTACTAAAATATTAATTAAAATTAAATATCTTATTAAATTCAGACTTGTCTGAAGTGACTAAACTGCATGCACTTAGGTTCTATTCTATGTCGATCAGATATTTGTTTTGAACGTGTCAACCTAGTTCCAAGAGCTATGTGCTCATAAAACATAATTTCCCTAACCTAGAGGGAATTAGACCGCAGTGAATTTAAGACATTAGTTGTTAAAGTGCTCAAGTAAGTGGTAGAGAAATTAGGCAACTAGGACTCTGTAAGTAGTTAAGAACTGTAGTTATTTCACTTTCCTAACCAGGTTCTATTTTTAAATGGAACAAGAGAGATCATTTACCTTAACCATTCCCATTTTTCTATGTACAAGTAATTTTAGCTCTGAGCATAAGATATACAAATCTGGTTTTGCAGTATCAGTACGAAAGAGAAGTGTACTTGAATTGCATACTTATAGCCTAATTATTGAAAAGCATCAATAAAAAAGTACTGCTGTTTCAAATATTCATCACTAGTTTTGTATGGTTAATCAGTGGCAAATCAAACTATAAAGAGCTAAGCCAATAGCCATTTATCATGAAGAATTAAAAAGAATAAAAGAAATTTAAATCTGTAGCCACCCAAGACAACGGAAAATATTTCCCACAATTTCCAGGAGTTTCAAATGCATGTATGTGTGTGTTCATGCATTAGCAGAATCTAGAACAGTGGCTTTTTAACCTTTTTATATCTACAGATCAACAGTAGTCTGCAAATCAGGAATATAAAATCACTGTTGTAAGATGCTACCTAGATTTTACCTACCATACAAATCTAGACAACATTTAGTTGTCTTTATGGACTTTAGGCTTCTTAAAATTATATTCATTTTTCAACTTTATTTATAATGAACTAAGTCTAGTTTACGTATACACATAACTCTCTTAGTAAATTGAAAGTAGAGTAAATTGAAAATTTTCAACTAAGTTGAAAATAGAGGCCTATAGAATTTTGCATATTTTTTCTATGAGAATCAGTGACATTACATTCAAGTTCAAAAAGTAACAACCACACATCCTTCAGAAAATTAGTAAGTCAACAAAAGAACCACAAAATAAGTAACTACTGTTGGAAATGTTGAGGCATATAAGGTATTATAGTAAAGATGGAATTGCTATTAAATTTAGATCAGTGGAGAACATCAGGATAATCAGAGGGATAGGCAAGATACTGCAGATGGAAATATTCATTTAGTACATAAAAAATTCTCTTGTACTAAATGGCTGGAGCGATAGCACAGTGGGTAAGGTGTTTGTTTTGCAAGTGGCTAACATGGCCAACCTGAGTTCGATTCCTCTGCCCCTCTCGGAGAGGGAGAGCCCGGCAAGCTACCGAGAGTATCTCGCCCCCATGGCAAAGACTTTCAAGCTCCCCATGACGCATTCAATATGCCAAACACAGTAACAAGTCTCACAATGGAGACGTTACTGGGCCCGCTTGATCAAATTGATGAACAATGGGAGGACAGTGACAGTGACAAGTTTTAGCTATAAATGTACTTTATATAGAAGCATCATACATGCACTACATAGTGGTATATATGTATATATACTATATATATGTATATATATAGAGAGAGAGACCTTGGACCCTAAACAACAGAACCTTGCACCCATAACATGAAAAATACATTGTTCCTGGTTTATATCTTGAGTGTGAAATTTCAGTCATTTCTCTTACCACCAAGCCAAGGGAGATGAAGGGGGATAATAGGAAAAGCACTCTGCCTCTAAGCTGCTTTTTCACTCTGTACAAGGAAACTCTCTGATGTACAACTATAAAATTGTAGGTTGGTCAGCTCATTTAATATACAGACATCTATTTTCAGATTTGGTCTATACTGTGACTCTGCCATTGATATTTTTAAAGCAAATGATAACTGGGCTCCCTCAAATCTTCTAAGTAAGGGAATAGGAAGTGGAGAATGAGATCACAGATTAAGAAAGATATATACAGAAGCTCTGGATTTAAAAAAAATTATAAGAACTTATCTTCCATCTTGAAACTCCTATATTTTGAAGAATTCTTAGGTAGACATTTTTCTTACACAAAATTTAAATTTCCACTTAATCATTGCAATTGGTTTGACATATCTGCCAACTTTGCCCCAAATATTTTGAGCAGTTTCAAATAGAAGCACTTCAACCACTTAAAAAAAATTCCTTCTTTCTTAATGCTTGATTTTTTCCCATTATCTTAGTTTTTTCTTCATTTATGTTAGGTTGTAGCTTACCTTTCTTGTGGCTTAGGATAACTGGCACCAGATATACTCATTTGCACTTTGTTTATTTATAATTGATAGTGATTCTAATTGAGCTATTATTTCTAATGGGTACTCTTGTCACACTAGTTAATAGAAATGCTTTATATATAAACCCCTGCCAGATAGCCATATATTTATGGAGAAGCGGTGAAGTAAAAAATATATTCCATATAAAATGAACAAGAAATTTAAGGCTGTGATATGCCTGAAGGAAAACTTTACATGTTTTCCTCCAACATTAATAAAAGGTAATTTGGTTCTCAGCTAGCATTTTGTAAATGAATGTTTTAATAGTGATCATAAAAGTGGTTTTTTTAAAGCTCTATTCCTTTTATTTGCTAGGAGGAGCACATGATGATAGAAATAAATCTCGACCAGTTGTGATAACGTGTGTTCGTCCTGGAGGGCCCGCTGACAGGTAAACTCCATCTTTCACTGTCGCTCTCTAGATAGATTAAATAAGGACGGGGCCTTTAGCAGAACAGTCAATGAGTTAGAAATTTTACAATGGTATTGGGTAAATTGTTAAAGGAGAATATTGGGAGAGTTTAGTCTCCTGCATCAGAAAAAAGAAAGTCCAACTCCGGATTCCACGAACTTAACATATTCTGCACTTAGTACTACATTACTAAGATCCTTAGACTTTGGTAAATGACTTATCCTTTCTGAGCTCAGTTGCCACCATTGTAAAATATGGAAATGCCCACCTTTCAGGGGTTCTGATTTTGTCAGAGATTGAATATGTGCAATGCCTGAGGGGACCTGTGAGATCAGAGGCATTTCTCAAAAAACCATGGGCTGTTTAGGCTGATTCCTGAAATGCATCATCACTGTTCCCTTGTTCCCCAACCCGGAAAGATAGGTGGTGGTGATCTGATGCTTCCTGTTATCAGCATCTTTGTCATGACCCTGACTACCTGGTGGATGACCTCAGAATGAAGGTGACTTGCATGAAAGGGGAGGAATATTGTTTAGAAAGAAACTGTGGAGTTTCTCGTTTCTGCTAATTTGAAAATCTGAAAGCTACTCCTTCAGCTAATCTAACATAAACTCGGGAGAGTGGTGAATAGGAGGTAGCAGGTTTTGTTTGGGGGTAGTAGATTACCCCAGCAATGATCAGGGGCTGTTCCTGGCTTTGTGCTCAGAAGAGACTCCTGGTGGTGCTCAGGGACCATGTATGGGTGTCAGGGACTTGACCAGGGCCACAGCCACACCAGCAACATGGAAGACAAGTGCCTCACTTCATTTACTATCTCTCTGCCCCTAAAATTTATGATTTTGATGACCCTTCATCACTTCTCCACAAGTTATAAGTTCCTATAAGTTATAAGTTCCTATAAGTTCCTATAGTTGTTTTTATTCTTTTCAAATCTAAAAGTCAATTCCTTGGTGGCAGAGATACATAGATGTTACCCTCAGATAGTATTGAAGAGGAGAAGGAAAATGCTCCTTACTCTGCACCATGCTTCAAACCAGGAAATAGTTGGAAAACCTTTTGTGAAGCAATAGAGAAAATAATAAATACTATTTAGTGAACACCTCCTACATGCCAGGAGGGGAGTGAAGTGTTTGGCAGACATATCCTCACATCTGCCCAGTAACTGACCTACTTTTATTCACATTTACAAATGACAGGACTGAAGCCCAGAACAGCTGAATGACTTGCCACCTAGTACACAGGAGAAAAGGGATAAGAATTGATATTCATTTTCTTTCAGAGCTCATCCTGTTGGCCCACTCTGTTAAATAATGATATTTAACATGAAAGAATTAGAACATGAAAACTCTCGTTACTCACCTCTGCTGAAGCATACTGCCTTTGCAGAGAATAGTATCAAAAAAGTTTCCAAGAAAAATTCCTATCTTGGGCTTCTCTGGTTAATTATTCTTCTTGAAGAAATGCAAGTGTTTGTTTTGTTTTGTTTTGTTTTAATTAACCTTTAGAATTGAAGTTGACAGAATTTCCAGAAACAGGCTATTTGTTTGTGAGCAACATGTTATAAGTTCCTATAGGAGTGAAAGAGATAAAATCATTTAAAATAAAAACTTAAGCCAGAGTTGTCATGTTCCACAGAAGAGAACTTGCCTTGTACATGTGAGGTCCTGGGTTAGATCCCCAGCACTATTAAATTAAATTAAATTAAATTAAATGAAAACTTAGACTGAAAATACTTAGTTCTCTAGGTGATATTTAAGAAGTTGTTTTTATTCTTTTCAAATCTAAAATTTGTTATCTATCTGGTCCCATTGATTTTTAGTATCTCTAGGACCCTCCCCAAGGCAGGATAATCTGGAAACCTCCCTGATTTATTTCTTAGTGTCATAAAGTTCTGAAACATCTTCCCTCAATGCCTTCAGTGGTCATGGGGAGGGGATTAGTATTTGCCTGCCTCTTCTAAGACAGTGCAAGATGAAATCATTTTCATGATCACCAATGAGCCTTATAAATCAGTAGGAAAATTTATAGGCTAAGGATTTTTTTCATAGTAAAGCACTCCCTATTCTGCTTGAGTTCACTGGTATTAAATGGAATGCAATCAGCAGGTTTTCTGCTCACCTGACTTTTGAAAAATAGGTAAACGTGTATTTCCTGTGCTCTAACAAATCAATTTTAGACATTTAGGTGACAAAAAAGGGGTAAATCTGCCTTTAACATCTTGCACCCCAAGAGTTAACTATGGATAACTTGATTGTTTTGCTAATGCTTAGCTTTTTTCTTAATACTAATTTTCATAATGCAGCAATTTTCCGTCCAGGGTTACCTCTTTATTCTCTTACTGTCACACTTGATACTTAGAAGGAAATGCAAATGGGATGGATGGTAGCACGGGTGTGAAAGAACCACTTTGGCTAAGTGACTATTAATGTTAAGCCCCATTATGCTAAATTAATAAAGACTGTTTCTCTCTTCTCTCTTCAGAGAGGGCACCATCAAACCCGGTGATAGGCTGCTCAGTGTGGATGGGATTCGGCTGCTTGGAACCACACATGCTGAAGCCATGAGTATTCTGAAACAGTGTGGACAAGAAGCAACGCTGCTGATAGAATATGATGTCTCAGTAATGGGTATGTTGGCATCCCAGGCTGTGATCATGAAGCTCTGGGATACTTCCCTGTCCACCCCTGATAAACCTCTCTGGCTTAAGAATGAATTGTATGTCCTCTTGTAGCAGGTAGAATTTCATCAATACTTTATCATTATTCTGGTTAGCTTCAGGAAAAGATAAGGGGTACTTTTCAGCAATTTAGAGTTCTTATGTCAATAGCTTTGGGAAAAAGATCTAACTCTGTGAGAATGTTCTATTTAGCAATCAACCCTTTCATATGAATTATCCTTAATAAGAAAGCACTTTCCCCCTCCATATCTCTCTCTATGTCTCTGTCTCTCAGTCTCTCTCTGTCTCTCTCATTCTCTCTCTCTATCTCTCTCTCTGTCTCTCTCATACACACACACAGTGCACGCATACATGTACACAAAAGGTATTATAAAAATAGGGGTTGGTTCTTTTTCTTTTTCTTTTACAGCAATGAGATTGAAAACCAGTAGGGAATTCCTTCCTTCTTATGACTTCATACTGGGAAAGTAGCTCATAAGTATTCTTGGTAATTACCGTTTTATCATCAGATTTAGATAGCAGGAAAAGAAGGGAGACATATAATATTACCGATTCAAATAATAAATTGAATCAAGTATTCTTTCTTAAAGTGATTACAAAAGAAAGTCGCTTTCTTTCTACCTTCAGTACTGAACTAAAACTGGGAAAGCACTCTCATCTTTTATCATTTTTTCTATGTGTTTTATTTAAGGTCTCTGATGTGGTGTTCAGGGGGGCCAGGGGGCCATCCTGGTAATCTCAAACCAGGGGGCAGGTGGTTCAGTGTCAGGGCCTGAGAATACACTGCTCCTGGGTTACTGCACCAATATACCAAGGCCTCCAGGCTCATGCCCAGTAGTGCTCAAAGTCTCCAGGGCTAAACCCCGTGATGCTAGAAGAGCATCTGGTAACAGGATTGGATCTGGGTTAATCACACGCGAACATTTGCCTTTACCACTGTACTATCTCTCCATTCCCTCATCTCCTTTAAGTGTTAATAGAAAGCTAATGTTTTGTCTATCTTGACAAAGGCAGTGATGTTATGAGGGAATGAATTAGAACCTGAAATTGAAACTTCAATCATGTTGCAAATACTTCTTAATTATCAGACTTGATTATGTGATCTGACATTATCAGCAAGTTGTATGTTTCTGAAATGAAGCAGAGAAAAAATTGCTCGAGCGGGCCCAGTAACGTCTCCATTGGAGACTTTGTTGTTACTGTGTCTGGCATATCGAATACTCTCGGTAGCTTGCCGGGCTCTCCGAGAGGGGCGGAGGAATTGAACTCGGGTCGGCCATGTTGGCTGCATGCAAGGCAAACGCCCTACCCGCTGTGCTATATGTAATTATAACTAATTAAAAAATATAACTATTTTTTCTATATTTCCCACTCTGGATTATTCATATACAGGAATACATGTCATGCACAGTGTTGGCTGAAATGTTTTAGAGAGGCCAAGGGTTTCCTAAAAAGACTTCAGGTATGAGGTTAAGGAGCAGGATGAGTGATGTTCTTTAAACCTGACATGGGAGATTGAGAATAAATAAAATTTCCTTTTTTGTTCTTTTTCTTCTCTTTTCGTCTCCTCTTCTGTCTTCCCCCACCCCCTTTTTCTTTTGGTTTTGAGTTCAATTTTGAGTTGGATGATTTGTGTTTTGTTTTTAACTCTCCTGATTAACTTTTAGCTATTAATTTGTATCATGTCACTTACTTTCCTTTACCAAATAGATACTAGTAGTGCCCATTTTAAAAGTCAATTATAACAGTAAAATTATACTAGCAAAGTAGATGTTAGTGGTGACATTTTAATATGATTGACGTTTAAATTTGAAACAGGGGTCAAGGGAAGAGCTCAAAGGGTTGGTTAGGTGTCAAGCTCCAGATTCACTCCCCTACTGTGTGTCCTGCCAATAGCAAGACAAAGGTTACCCAATGGGCTTGAGCACTGAGCATTAGAGCCAGCAGAGCATGGATAGTGGTCACCAGGGGGTGAGATTAGGGTACTGACAGCACTTTTGGGGACCTCCCTTACAAAAATGGTGGAAATATTGAAACAGATATTTGAGCTATTTAATTCATTTATTCAATCCACAAAATCTTATTGATCTAACTGGTAGATAGCAGCTATACAGAAATAACAAAATAGATCTACCCCTGCCCTTAAGACCTTGCATTTGGCAGCACACAGGCAAACAGTCAAGCTAATAAAAATTCATAAACTGTGGTAGCTACCTGCCATAAGGAGCATGAACATATTCTGGCATAATAACAGGCATAGACATGAAGATTGATAGGTATCTGTTGGGTAGACAGAGAAGGGGCAGCAGGTAGCTTAAAATCTGAAGGCTTAAAAGAAACCAGCTCCAAAGTGAAATCATAATGTGAAGGCTTAACACCTACTTGTTCCTATGTGCATAGTCCCACTTCAAAGAGAAACCTCCATATGTTATAATACAGGTGCATGAAGTGACCCTCAGTCTGCTTTCTCCCCAATTCACATTCACATTGTGAATGATGCCAGGCAGTTTCCATACGCCAGAGTTTACAACTATGCTTCTCATGTATGGAAGGAAAATGCATCAGAAAACATTTACTGAAATGAAAAAGCTAATTGAATGGACTTAGCCCTATACAAAGTTTCTCTCCACATGGATAGTTTGTTTTACTTTTTTTTCTACTTTCCAATAAACTTTTTACAAAAAGAAATGAATTATTTTAAAGAATAACTTTCTCCAATTTGCTAGATTTAGTCTCAGTATACAAAATCAGTCATGGTTTTGTATACCAGTGAAGAACAGAAGCTTAAAGTTTTAAGATTTCACTTATAATATAAACCAAATAATAAGGTTCCTATGGAAATAAATATAAATTTTAATATATAAATAAACATACAATCATAACAAATATTATTCCACAATTATATTACCCAGTTATGCATAATTATAGGCATAGATCAATATACATAAATGAAAGAATAAATAAATAAGTGAAGACATATGTTATTCTTGGATGATAAGTCTTAATATGTCATTTCTCTCAAGTGCAACCACAAATTCAATTCTTTCAAAATCTCAAAAAGATCTTTTTTTTGGGGGGGAGGGACCCTAATAATCTCAGACTGAAATATATGAGGAATAAGAAGAGTGGGAGGGGATGAAAACAACCAAAATGTTTTTGAAGCAATATGAAATCAGAAAAACTTGTTCTACCAGATGTCAAGATCAATTATAGAATTGAGCCTTTTCATTTATATAATAATGTGGGATAATACAGAGACTAAAGGAAGTGAAGGGGTTATCTAGAACCAGAGTAGAAACAGAATGGAAACAGAATGATATATCAGTAGGGAAGGTTGAAGTGATAGTAAATGATGATGGTGGATCAATTACTTAGTCACATGGGAAATTTTAAAATTAAATTGCTGTTTGACATTATATCATCAAAGAAATTCTTTCATTTACATCATTTTCCAATATATTATTGCTGTGAATACTCATTTACTCAGTCTTTATATTTCCAAGTTTACTAAATCAAGGGTATATTTCTTTTTTTTCTTTTTCTTTTTTTTTTTTTTTTTTGGTCTTTGGGTCACACCTGGCAATGCACAGGGATTACTTCTGGCTCTGCACTCAGGAATTACTCCTGGCGATGCTCAGGAGACCATATGGGATTCTGGGAATCGAACTCAGATCCACCACATGCAAGGCCAACGCCCTACCCACCGTGCTATCTCTCCAGCCCAAGGGTCTGTTTCTTTTTAATGTTTTTTATTTACCTGATGAACATAGTTACAAACTATTAACAATCCAAAATCCAACTTTGCATCGAAATGATCACAGACAGTGATCATGTAGGACTTCTTCCAGGGTTACAAAGATGGTTTAATATACACAAGTTATTCAATGTAAAAATTTTGACACATAATTCTAAATTGTGAGTCAGAAAGAACGAAACATTTTATTACTACCAAGATTGTACTTGTCTCCCAGCTTATCAATACTGAACATTTTTTATCATTCTTATTTATTGAGCAAAAATTATATTTATACTTTAATTTACCAAAATATTTCTAGTGCAACTAAATCTTTTTTTTAGAACACTGGCCATTTTAATGTTGTCTTGACTGCTCACATCCTTTTTTTATTGTCCTATTGAAGGTACTGTTTATAGTTTTTTTTTTAAGTTTATTAAATTACTTACAAATTAAAGACATTAATCCTTGTCATATTTTGTAAAAAACTTTTTCTTAGAGTTTCTAATTCCCTCTTTCTAATATGTTGAAGTTTTATCTTTTAGTTACTTTTGGGGTGTGATCTAGTATTTTCTTAGCATTTAAATGTCAATTTAGTGCTAAAAACCATCTAATTTCCCTGGATCATTTAACTAATGATGTATCACACACCCTCCGATTGTAATGTTTTAATTATAGATAAAGATATCAAATGTATTATTCAGGTGCATATCTGGGCTAATTGCTCTAATCCACTCATCTAGTTTCACACTAAAATTCAGGAACAGGAACTGGATTTTTGAATTAAAGTTTAACATGACAGCTCTCATTTTCATAAGAAGACACACACATTTTTTTTGTACATATGGAGGCCTGGAGGTGGTACAGTGGCAGAATAACTACCATGACAGTGTGAGGCCCCAAGTTCCATCCTCCCTGAATTGCCCACTCATGCCCAACAGGTTCCTGGTGGCAATGCCATTTGGGATTCCCGTGGGCCACAACCAGATGTGCCATCCATGACCCCTACAACCAAGTAGTTTGTGGCACCCCACTGAGCACCACAACTAAAAATATCTGAGCACCACACTACACAGAGAGAGCACATGTGTAAGCAACCATGTGCATGAAATCAGCAAGGCCACATGTGTGAACACTGCATCCAGCAGCATGGTCCCTGTTAGTTAGAGCCCTAATGAAAAAGGAAGGGGAATCAAAACATAACTATAAGTTATGTT